ATACGGAGGGGCAAGTAGACATTTCTGAAGCTTCCTACCTCAGCAGAAAGAGTAAATGAAAAACAATGCTGAATTCCAAAGGGAGGGGAGTAAACTAATGAAACTTTCAAAGACTCGAATATCATGGTGACTTGTATCCTACCCCCATGTAGTTCATCAGACCAGTTCCTACAAAAATCAAATAGAGCATGGCAGGTGATAGGACAGTAGCCCCAGGTGTAGCTGAGTGTGTACAATGTGGTTTTTGTTGGCTTGTTTTCTTTTGCTAGAGTAGGTTAAAACATCATTCAGCACTTGACCTAGCAAATATGTTTTTGGCTGCACCTATCAGGAAGGAGAAGTGGATGCCATTGGGCTTTCCACAGGATGAACAGTGCTTCATGTTTGTAGGTCTTACCCTCAAGTCTATGCACGTTCTCTTTTTTTATTGTTTATTTATTTTTGAGAGAGAGACAGAGAGTGAGCAGGGGAGGGGCAAGGAGAGAGGGAGACACAGAATCTGAAGCAGGCTCTAGGCTCTGAGCTGTCAGCACAGAGCCCCATGCGGGGCTCGAACTTGTGAATCACAAGATCATCACCTGAGTTGAAGTCAGACCCTTAACTGACTGACTCACCCAGGTGCCCCGTCGATGCAAGTTCTTACATCCTTTATCAAGATATAATCTGAAATAGCCTGGATTTTATGGACAGTCTGTAAAATGTCATATTGATTCGCCATATGATTGATATCATGTAATAGTAACACGTAAGAAATATGAGGCAAGTATGTTGAACATCTTGGTTTATACATAATACATACACCGAACTATATGGTTTACGCACCACAAACCTTAGGGAATAGGTAGTACATCTACAGAGATTCATAAGGTTTCTGATTCCACACAAGATGGAGTAGACACATTCTGCCTACTCCTTGCACTATACACTTTGGAACATATATGTGTATGGGATATATATACACATATGTATACACATAATACAGATCTCAAATATAATGAGGCTCTAAGAGGTGAAGAAAAAAAGGCAGATCAGGTAGGAAACTTTGGATCTAAGGAATGACATTACAGGGATTTCCCTGGCTTTCGCCCCCTTCCCTGATGTATCCCAGACGGAGTAAGTAGTAGAGTGACCAGCAACCCAGAAATGCCAATGGGTACAACCACCATCATCACAACAAAAACTACCTGTTTTCTCATTTCCCCCTGATGGTATATGGCATCACTGCCTTCTTTGCCTGAGAAGTAGTGGCGGTGGGATTGGGTGAAAAAGGTGGTAATGGTGGGTGGAGGTTAAGAAGGATTCAGATCTGGGGCACCTGGATGGCTCAGTCGGTTAAGTATCTGACTCTACCTCAGGTCACGATCTCGCAGTTCATGAGTTCTAGGCCTGCGTCAAGCTCTGTGCTGACAGCTTAGAGCATGGAGCCTGCTTGGGATTCTGTGTCTCTCTCTCTACCCCTCCCTGCTTGCACTCTGTATCTCTCTCTCTCTCTCTCTCAAAAGCAAACATTTTTTTTTAATTAAAAAAAAGAAGGATTCAAATGATAACCTGATGGTAACAAGTTTTAACTGTATTATTTATGACTTGGTCTTATTGGTTATCTCTGATGTAGAGCTAATCAACAGTGGTGATAGATCAATTATCAAAGGCGCTTTCTAGGGATACATACATTCTTACGTGGTTCACTCAATAGCAAAAATTCATTTTCATTGACTTTATAACTTAAAAATCTTATCAACCAGCTTCAGAAACAAGTGACTCGAAATATCTTAGCCTCATTTAAGTGGAATATCCTGCCCCATTTAATAAACTAAGATAAATTATGTATTAAGTTAAACTTCATTCCTTTGAAATCCATCGAGTAAATCAACCATATGCAATTTTAGTATAGTGTTTATTTTTTATTGGTAATTGAGTTACGTGAATGCCATATAAGTCAATTCGTTGAAAAACAGAAACACTGTGATATTAAGAAATGTTGAAATGTGTCAAAAGTGATTGTGAAAATGGACAAAACTCAGCACAGGTCCCGGCTTCTTGAAGAGACAAGTGTGGTACCCGGCTCACTACAAGGAAGATGAGCTTCTGCGTTCCTTATTCAAAGAGCACAACGAGAAGAGGAAGAGCACAAGAATTCTGTCTTCAGCTGCTGAGCAATCGGTAAGAGGCTTGGAAACTCCCCAAGACCAGGACCGAGAGCCATCCCCTTCACCTCCGCTCCTTGAATGCCTGATCCTGATTCGCTTTGACGATGCCAGCCTCCCCGAAGGAGGCTGCGCGATGTAGACTAAGGACTGAATTCACCATGACTGGACAAAAGCACCCTGAACACACAGTGCTCCTTCATTGCCCACTGAAACAAGTTCCGAATTCCATTTTTATGGCACATCACACCAGGATCACACATAATCCTAGAGTATCTTTATTTGTTCTATAATTTAATAGCACACCTATAAAATAATTACATTATACTTAGAGCTTTTCTTCATTTATAAACAGACAAAAAACAATTAAATACAATTTGAGCCATTAGAAGGTAAACTTTGTACAAACCCCAGAAGGAGCTTCACACTGCAGCATATCATATTGCTTCCATTGCTACACCCACGATTGGGTTCAAAGAGAGTGTGCTCATGTTCGTATTCGGTGAGTTCATAGCTTAACCCTTCCCCTATGGATTTGGGTTCTGTGTTAATAAAATGACAGGGTTGGCTGTCAGCCAGAGACTCCCGTCCACTCTCCCCTGCTCTACCCCACTGGCCTCAGTTACGGTCGTGTGATGTGGACTTCCTTCCTTCGCAGCATTTCTGCTTGTGTGTTCTGCACTGAGTCTGACTTGAGGTGTTCCATTAAGTGCGAAAATCAATTCTGAACTTGGACACACTCTCCACTCCTTTTCTCCAGCCCAAGGTACCAGCCTTCAAGGATCTCTGTTGAGTTCTGCCTCCTGATTTCGGGCTGTGCATAACCATTCCTAAAACCAGTTCCCCCTGTGCAATGGCACATTCTGCTCAGGAGTCATGGGGTTACAGAAGGGACAGAAATGAAACTTGCAGTGTAAGGGCAGGAAATGGAGGCACCGTCATGCCGCACCCTGCTCTCCAGGTGAATACCTCCGGATTCCCCCTCACTGTCAAAGGTCAGTTTCCCGAGCAGCAGCTCGCAGAGGGTCTCACAAACCTGGAAATGGGTCTTTCTGAGTGCCTCTGGCAGCGGCACTTGGGACTGAGTGCTTGGGAATTACCAATGAGAGGATGTCAGAGTGTGCTGATTCCCACCAATGGCATCTAATTCACATTTACAGATTCCATACACGTTACCCACAGGGAAGCCTTTGTGGAGCAATCTGGCAAAGGGAATCCGTGTAAGTATAGTTTTGCAGGATAATAAATTATGTCAACTTTCTTATGCCAAGAGATCACAACATGGAAACCTCAATGATTCATAAAAATGAAAGGTAAGCTGGTCATCCTTTTTGTTGTTGTTGTTTTTAAATTCCATTCTTTGAAAAGGAAGCTTCTGTAGGGACAGCTTAACTAGATTGCTGTCCTATGTATTTTATTTTCTATTTCCTCCTACACCACAAAGCGAATTGGCTCCTGGTGCTTTTTAAATATTTCTTTCACCAGGAAATATTTTTTGTTTAGTGTCATGGCAGTAAAGTAGCGTTAACTTCTCACCCCACATATGCAAATTAAATATCACAGGGCTCTGAAGTTCCCCCTGCCGACTTCCCAGTGAGCCTCCTCCCTGCACCCCTCCCTCCCAACCCACTTCCTATATTGTGCTGCAATGCTTTAGGACCTTCAGTGAAATAGTGTTCATTGTCAAATCACAATGTCAAATCACCTGGCGTCTCCCTGCCCAATCTAAGAATAGGTGCATGACAGTGAACTGCTGACTAGGCATTATTTCTGAGCGACACGCTGGGTGGGCCTTACTCAGAACAGTGCTGCGAAGCCAGAGTCCGAACACGTGGCACAATACATGGATAGGTCTATAGCGCCTTTTAACAGCTCTTTACAATACAGGTCAATTACAAAACCAGCGTTAATACGGAGACCTTTGTGTGTAATAATATTCTAATTGCAGCAATAAGAGCATGCACCCCAGGGTTCATCTGAGTCCACAGATGCGGGAGGTGGGGGAAGTGAGGAAGAGGTGGCGAGGGCTGGGGAGAGGGGAGGGTGTGGCCTGCTGAGCAAGGTCCCCCGGGAAGCCCATTTCATGATCCCAGTGGCTCAAGTCGTCTTCTCGGAATCGGGGTTTAGGAGAACCTCCCTGTGGATGGACGTCGTCCAGATCCGCATCACAGCAGCGCGAGGGGCAGCTCCCCCTTCCCCACGGGACCCTCTGGGCTGGAGGGCCCCGGCCCAGCGCGAGAGGGAGAGGCGTGAGGCCGCGTCCTTCACGTCCTGGGAAGGGGGAGCTGGAGTGTAGGGTGAGGGCCAGGAAAGACTCGCTCTTCCACACGGTGGAAACATCAATGCCGGGCTGGCGGGGCGGCCCCGGGAAGGCCCTCTCCGGCCGCCAGCCGCCGGGTGGTGGGTTTCCAGCCGCGTCCGTGGGGCCTGCAACGCAGCCTGGTTGGGACGCACAGCGGGGGCCCGCGGTCGGCCAGGAAGGCACCCGGGCGGAGCTCCGCGTGTGGCCGGGGCGCGGGGGCGCGTGTGGCCGGGGCACCTGCGGCCGCGGCGCCTGCGGCCGAGGCGCCTGTGACCTGGGGCGCCTGTGACCCGGGGCGGGTGTGGCCGGGGTGCCTGTGACCGGGGCGCCAGTGACCGGGGCGGGTGTGGCCGGGGCGCCTGTGACCCGAGCGCCTGTGGCCGGGGCCCCTGTGACCGGGGCGGGTGTGGCCGGGGTGCCTGTGACCGGGGCCCCTGTGACCGGGGCGGGTGTGGCCGGGGCACCTGTGACCCGAGCGCCTGTGGCCGGGGCGCCTGTGACCGGGGCGGGTGTGGCCGGGGCGCCTGTGACCCGGGCGCCTGTGGCCGGGCGCCGACAGCCCCGGGAAACGTGCTGGCTGCGGAGCGGGCCGCGGGGCGCGGAGGCCGGGGACGCAGGCGGCGGCGGCCCAGCCGACGGCGCGCCGCCCGTGCTCACTGCTTGTCCGAATCGCTGAGGTTCACGGACATGCAGCGACACTGCTTCACCTTCTGGATCTTTTTGAGTCGGAAGGGCGGGTCCAGCCCGGGGCACTCCAGCTCCACCAGCACCGAGGCGACGCGCTGCGGCTTGCAGAAGGCGCACGACTGGAAGGACTCCTCCTCCTTGCGCACGTGGCGCGGGATGTAGAAGGAGTTGCACTGGCCGTAGCAGAAGCGGTTGAGCACCGTGCGGCTGCGGCAGCCGTCCTCGCTCACCGTCTGCCGCAGCGGCTGCGTCTTGCACCAGTCACTCTTGAGGTACTTGCGCTCGGTGACCACCAGGGCCTCCTGGCTGGACGCCAGCACCTCCTTGATCTGGTGCTGCCATCGCTCCGAGTGGTTGCTGCTGCCGTCCTTGTAGGGCGAGGGGATGGCGCCCGCCGGCCGGTTCTTCCGGGCCTCCGCCGCCTTCACCAGCACCGCCGCCAGGCACAGGCACAGCGAGAGCTTCCAGAACATCCTGCAACGAGACGACAGTCAGGGCGGGGGTGGGGCGGCTGGGGCGGGTGTCCGCGGGTCTCCCTGGTGTTCCTCGAAGGGGCTGCAGTCTGGGGCCGCGGAGGGGAGAGTGCTTGCAGAAGGCGAGGCGCCCTCCCAAACAGGGCCCCGCGGGCGCGGGGGTGGGGGGGGGAGAGCAATGGCACAGTTAGAGCACAAGCACGTGCTGATCGACTACAGGATTCAAGAGCAAAGATGGTCAAAAATAGCCCGAGCCGGCTGGCTGAGGTGCCAATAAGAGTTGATACCTTTCACCGCAGTTTCACGTAGTATTTGCGCACGGCTGCCCTATGCGCACTGCACGGCTACCTTATTTGATTCTCTGTGACAACTGTAGGTTGCAGGTGGCCTTATTATCCCTACTTTATTATGCAGGAAACTGAGGCCCACGGACACGGAGTCATTTGCCCAACGTCACACACGGCTAAGAATGTCCCAGGATTTCGAGCCAGGCATCTGCCTCCAGAGCCACCGAAAGGACCCGTCAGACATGGATGTGATCAAGGAAATTAACAAAAAGTAAAGGCAAGATCGGTGTGGGTCACAAGCTTCTGAACCATGAGTACCGGGCGGAGGGAGGGGGGTTAGGGGGCGCGCCTGGTGGGCTCAGTCGGTTAAGCCACAGGCTTCAGCTCAGGTCATGAACTCACGGTTGGGGAGTTGGAAACCCCCATTGGGCTCTGTGCAGACAGCTCAGAGCCTGGAGCCCTTTTCGGATTCTGTGTCCTGGATGGCTCAGTAGATTAGGCTTCTGACTTAATCTCAGGTCCTGATCTCAGGGTAGGTGAGTTTGAGCCCCAGCTCCGGCTCACTGCTGGCAGCCTGTGGGTGCAGAGCCTGCTTGGCATCCTCTGTCCCCATCTTTCTGCCCCTCTCCTGGCTTGCCTTCTCCCCAAAATAAATAAATCTTAAACAAATCAACAAATATGAAAGAAAGAAAGAAAGAAAGAAAGAAAGAAAGAAAGAAAGAAAGAAAGAAAGAAAGAAAGAAAGAAAAAGAAAGAAAGAAAGAGTACTAAATTTAGGAGTGGCTACAGATTAGGAAAAGTAATATTTACACCTCTGGTATTTGCTGTGGATAAAAAATTACATTGAACATCTGCACGGAGATACTCACGTTAACTCAAGCGAGTCATGGGTTCGTTCCTTGTAGTGGAAAACACTTCCCAGTCGTGAATTAAGAAGCTTCCCAGGCTGTATTACAACTGCCTTAGAGAATGCAATGGTAACCTACATGAATAGATTGTATCTTCTGTCTGCATATTAGGGCCTGGTGACACAGGTGTGCAGGGATGGGAGCTAGAAAGAAACTTCCTTTGAACCGTGTCTTGTAGAAAGTAAACCAAGCCTGACTGAAAGATAGATTTCTCTGAAGTTTAATTCACAGTTTCTATTGTAATATATTTTTTTAATGTTTTATTTATTTCTGAGAGAGAAAGAGAGAAGAGAGAGAGACAGCGTGAGCAGGGGAGGGTCAGAGAGAGAGGGAGACACAGAATCCGAAACAGGCTTCAGGCTCTGAGCTGTCAGCACAGAGCCCGACGCAGAGCCCGAACCCACGAACCGCGAGATCATGGCCTGAGCCCAAGTCGGACGCTTAACCTACTGAGCCACCCAGGTGTCCCTCTATTGTAATATTTACATTAATACCCTCAAGGGATAGCAGTGCCTCTCAGTAGAGATGATTCTTACATCCTGACGCCTGTAGTTCCTTCTTCACCCTCGTCAACCTCACCATCTAGAGGATGGTGAAGATCTCTTCAGATCTTCTGTCTTCTTTGCTCTCTACCCCTCCCCTGCTCTCGTGGGCTCTCTCTACCTCTCCCTCAAAAATAAATAAACATTTAAAGAAAACCCGCATGGCTCTTACATTTTCCTTTCATGTATAAGCATATTTAATCATCAAAATTCTATGAAATAGGTATTATTATTTCTCTCATTTTATAGATGAGGAAACTGAGGCATTGAGAGGCTTCACAATGTATCCAGATCACATGGCCAGTATGTGAAGTATTTGAGTCCTGGCTCCAGGTGAGTACGACTATCTCATTGTTAAAAATATTTGTGTTAAAACATCTATGCTAAAATATTTCTTTATGTCATTATTATTAGTCTAAGCAGAAGCCACAAGAGGCTTTTGCAAGTCATCTCCCAGAGAATTCCTTCATTCATCAAATTCTGTTGAGTATTTATTCTGGAATAAACTCTGTAATAAGCCTTGTGAATTCCAGCACCTCCCACAAAGGCAAAGCTCAAGTTCTTACAGTGTCAGATGAGCCCTGACAAGATCTGCTGTCCCCATTCTTACCTCGCCATCCTCGTCACCTATACTGTCCCCCTTGCTCACTCCGCTCCAGCAACACTGCCCACCTTTCTGTTTATAGAACATGTGTGGAGTCTTTCTGCTGTAGAGCCCTATGTTAGCCTTTCTCCCAGATATCTGCACGGCCTTCTCCTATAGTCTTCAAGTCTTTGCTCAATTATCACCTCCCCAGTGAGGCCCTCAATGGGTAACTTCACCAAAACCCTAGCATTCATTGTCTCCTTCCTCCCTGCTAAGTGGTACTGAGCATCTTATAGATTTGAATGATCTTACTGATTTTTGCATTGTCTGACTCCTCCCAGTCGATTTAAGGTCCAAGAAGGAAAGAACGCCTGTTGATCCATTATTACATGTCTTGCAATCAGAACAATGCCTAGCATGTAATAGGAACTCAATAAATATGTGTTGAAGGAACCATGGATGCCATGCATTTTATTGCCTTCAACGAGCTTGCAACTCAGAAGTTAGAGAAAGGCATGCAGGGGACAGGGCTAGTTTCAGAGGTACAGGTTTCCATGGCACTAGTCCTGGAATGGAGAACATCCGAATCGCTGGGATGCTTTACAGTGGAGATTCCTCACCTCCACCCCAAAACCTTCTGAATCAGTAGAGTTGAGGCGGAGTTTGAGATCTGTATTTTCAAGAACCGCTTTGGGTGATTTCCATTGGTCCCGTGGCCCCCAGGGGATAGTGGAGGCACAAGGAAAGGGCATCAGCTCCTCCTTGGAGAGGGGGCAGGAGATGCCCGGGAAGGGACAGCTGAGTGGGCAGCTTTAATTTCATCCCTTCCAGGCAGTGACACTGCCAAGGGTGCAGAGTTAGATAAATGTAATGACAAGAGGCAAGGGGAGTACCAGTTAGAGCAGAGAGGGGAGAAGGGGAATGATTTCCTTTTTGGGTAAAACTATTTTGGGCAATACCTTTTTTGAAATTTCGAGGTCGAATTTTTAACGGACTTTCCTCATGGCCTCCTCAGTTCTGCACATGAGTTGTTGTGTGAAAATGACCATGCTTCCAGCAGACTCATGGCAAGCAATGGAGTATTGGACTCATTCAACATACACAGCTTATTATATTTGCAGAAAGATTTGTGATCTCAATAGTCTCTTAAAAAGAAAGTATGTTGGTTCCATTTTAATAATTTCCAAAATTATTAACATTCTGGGTAAACACAACCAAAAGTGTGCAAGTTCCAGCCAGGAAAGATTTACAGAGTCAGCCCGGTCCTCCGGCCTGAGTTCCAGGCACAGCTCCCCATGCATCTCTGATAGGCTAAAAAAATGCATGCTTTCACTCACCAGGTCCTCGCTGTTGTCAGGGAGAACAGAACTAAAACACGTTCTGATCAATTTGGGGCAAAAGCCCTGAGAGTCACAGTATTAGATGTGATGATTAACAACATGCGCTCTTCGAACGCTTTGAAACATTTTCAAAGCATCTGGCAATCAGCCTTAGAAGTCATGCCTCACAAGAACCGAAGAAGAAAAGCGAATCTCCCATGTTAAAGATGAAGAGGCTGATGATAGCTAGGTGACTGGGGTCAGCCCAAGCTCCTCTCTTTCCTTTCCTCCATCTCGTATCTTTATTCCTTCACATATAGCAACAGGATTGCCAAGAATCTGGGATCTCAGTGTCCTGACAGGTGAGTAGGCAAGAGGTATTGGCTGCAGTGACTGTTAGGCTATATCCCCTCCACTTCAAGGGCACACTAAAGAGTTTTGATCCTGGCACATGATACAGTGGCCCTTAAGTGTGTGGGGTTCCTCGGGAGCAAACATGCATGCCGCTTCTTCAGTTCACTATTTCATACACGCTTGCACACACACATCGGTGGCCCCACCAGGACCTGAATTTAGCACTCCAGAGTCCTGCTTTGTCTTGAACCACTTTGCGACTCAGAGAAATGGTTCACATACAATTAACCTTTGAGGAATGTTGCCATAACCAGTGGTACCAGAGCAGGAACGTCCTTCGTCATCTTCCCCTCGCATCTTGTGTTTGGCTTGTCTCAGAAGAAACTCGTAAATAAATCCTGTTGGTTTTATTAACCATCCTTGTGGCCTGACAATATTATAAATTTGCAAGGGATACTGGACCCTAAGTGCTGATATGCTAAGCAGTGTGGGTTGGTCAAAATAGGTTGTGGAGAGAGAGAGAGCTAGCAAAAGTGCCTTCTTCTTAAGGAACAGCCCAGGGCCTGGCCTTTGTTGGTTATCAGCACTGGGGCTACACAGGCCAGGGTAGTATCTAAGCAGCTAAAGAATACCTGGCCCCTTCTGTCTGCCTTTCCTAGAAGTGTCCGGGGGTTCAATAATAGGAGCTTGAGCAATAATGCTTCTTAATTTCTAGGAGAGGCTGCGGCAGTGCTGAATGCTCCCTGCCAAAAGGTGTCTGCAAGTGACCAAAGGCCAAGGGTTCAGTTAGGCTGAGTGACTCACTCCCAGAGTGACCTTGTTTCGTTTTAGAGGTCAGGTCAAGGCAGTACAGAGCTGTGCACGAGTGGTGGGGAGGACAGGGCCCAAACATTTCCTGTGACCTGAGAATTCTAGGCCATCCTTGGCAGGTTGAAGGGAGGCACCCAAGGCTGAATATCGGCAGACGTACCTGACGTGAAGTTGCTCCCACGCATGGCCCAAGTG